CACACACACATACACAGACACACACACACACACAAAAACACACAAACACACACACACACACACAAACACACACACAAACACAAACACAAACACAAACACAAACACAAACACAAACACAAACACAAACACAAACAAACAAACAAACAAACAAACAAACAACAAACAATCGCCGCACTTCTAGCTGATTCTAGCTCTGACGCCAAAACTGGACGACTCCTTTTCTTCGTCGTGTGGATATGTAGCGCTGCATGCGCCGCTCGGCTTTCCAGGTCCTACAGCCGCCGCCGGTATCAGCACCGGCCCGCTGAGGATCGACCGCCGCCGAATACCTATAAGGGTTGCGAGGGTGGGTTAAAAGCTGAAGACGTCGAAGACGCGTCGAGCCAGAGTGCTGAAGGCAGCTACGCCGTTCGCGATTGTTACTGCGCACACAAGTGTGCTACACAACAATCGCCGCTTTTCTAGCTCTGACGCCAAAATTGGACGTCTCTTGTTTTCGCCGTGTGGATATGCGCCGTTCGGCCTTCAGGTTCAGGTCCTACTGCCGGCGCCGGCTGCGTATGGACACCAGGTTGAGCGCCGCGTCGTCCCACGGCGTAAAAAGGTCGTCGACAGCCTCATGGCCAAGATGTGCATGATTTGTTGGCGCGGGTGGCGCCTCTTGTCGTCCAGGAATCCACGCAGAGCACCGCCGTGTCCAGGTCGTCGGGGAAGGACGGGATGAACCTCGGCTTGACCGTCGGCAGGATGTGTGACAGGGACACCAGCGCCCAGCGAAGACCAGCGGACAAACCGTCGTCGAAATGCGCAGATGTGAAGCGCCTTGGCTGGGGGCCTTTGAAGACCGCCTAGGTCAACAAAGACAACCTGCCCGCCAGCTTCTGGGCCTCGTCGGACTTGACAGGATCGTTTTTCAGCGCGAGGTGGATCCGCCGTACCCTCTCCGGCGTCGGGCTGACCGTCACGCCCCGCCGACGCCTTGACGTGACCGGCGCCGCCGGCTGCGACTTGGAGACCTTGATGCGGCAGCCCAGTGCCGCGAAGAGCTGCTCCAATTCCTCGGTCGCCGACCTCGAACGTCAGGTCGACGGTGAGGTTCTCGACGTCCGGGTATAGCGAAGCAAGTTGGGGATCAAAGCGCCGAGCCGACCCCATCAAAGGCGGACAGAATGATGATCTCATCCTATGCGCCAGCCTCGGGCACCCCGTCCTGAGTTGGGGGTTCCGTCCGGCCCTTCTGTTGTGGCCGCTGCGCTCCTCACAATTGGTCTGACCCTTGGGCCTCTTGTGCGGGCGCCAGCGCCGGCCGCCACCCTTGAATGCGATCCGGCTGGGCCCCATGCAGCTCCAGCACCGTCGGCACCGATCCGTCCGTGCCATTGGTGGCGTCCTTGGTCGGCGGCTCCATCCCCAGCTCCGGGTGATCAGCGCCAGGTAGTCTGGGACGGTTACGCAGTACGGTTACCATCATGACCTTGCCGTCACTGCTAGGCTGAGCAGCATAGCCAAAGCGTGGGTCAAGCCAATGTTGGCCCTGGCAAAGGAAGACATCAGCATCAACACTGCGGGTGTCGCAAAGCTCAGTGGCCGCGTGGACAAGAAGTTCGATTGGCACAAGTTAGCTGGCTCGAAAGGACCTACATGGATATTGGGCTTCTTCAGTTCATGAGATCGCTTCGCATTAAAGCACTCATCAACCTGGACTGATTTGCATCGCAAGGGGCAGATTGTGATGTCAGTTTGCAAGTGTGCTGACGTCTGTGTCTTGCATTGCTTTCGCCATCAGCCGTTTCCTTACTTGCACCATCCCTCACGAGATGGCTGACGGAAAACCGCAGCCGCGTGCCTCCACCTGAATCAGCCTTCTGGCGCTGGACATGGCGCTCAACGCAAAACCCCGATGGCAGCGTCACCGTCGTGCGGTGGTGGCAATGGTTCGAAGTGACGTGCCGATGGATAAGATCCAAGGCTCGGGAAAACAGACCAGTCACGACCGAAAGTGATGTCAGCCCGAGTCGACCTCTGAAGTGCAAGCGTATAGTCATTCCATGTAGTAGGGAGATGGCTAAACCAGCTTTGCTCTTGTCACAGCCCGGCAGCCTGCATGATCTAAAAGTGCTGGTCGATGACTTCCTCATCTCGTTCTGCTTGCTGGCCTTTTTCGTCAAAAGGTCCGACGTATCGGTGCAGCCCTGGTTCAGGGCATGTGCGTGTAAAGGCCTGTGCATGGCGACCGCTTCATAATCACTGTCTTTTCTAAGTATAGGTACCGTGGTGTCACTGCAGCCCTGTTTTTAGGGCATGTGTGTGTGCACGCCTGTACATGGCGACGGCAACGGCTCCAAGCCTTGCCCAACGAAGCCAAGTCAGTGGAGTGGATGCAGTGGCTGATCACCATTGTGTACCTTCCGTTTGTGACCTACTACATTACACCTGCTGTGCAGCATTGCTTCCGTAATGACGCTGCATGCACGGTTGCCACAATCTGATGCTGATGTTCAGTCTGTCTTTGTCGTGTCCTGTCGGTCGCTCGTCGCAGTCATCCCTGCCGTGCCAAAGCGTGTGTGCGCGTACGTGTGCGCGATCTCACACATGCATGCATCAAAAACACCGCTGGATTCACCTCGGCGCGCAAACACTTCCATACGGCATCCTCCAAAAGACTAGCTTGCGAGGTCCTGCTTCAACATTGCGGCCATATTGGGCTCTTGGCACGACAGCCCGCTTGGCATGACGCCAACTGCTTGCCAAAATGATCCCTCGAGAAGACCCATAACCATCCCATACCCCAGCCCCGACACAAAGGAATGTGCGTGTGCCTGTCCGCCTGTCTATGTGCGCAGGTATCTGTTTATCCAGGTATGTGAACAACCGAGCACTGACTGTCCCACACCGTCTACTTGAGCACGCCAGGGTTCTGATGCAGAAAGCGAGCGAGCAGAAACCGTCCGGGATCGGCAAAGGGATCCACCTTAGCATTACTGGCGGCCTAACTACTGTTGGTATTGCTGTTGCTGGAATTGAATACTAGTAGCAGCAGTCGTCGTCGTCGTCGTCGTCGTCGGGTGGTGGTGGTGGTCGTCGCGGCGGCGGCGGCGGCGGCGGCGGTGGTGGTGGTGGTGGTGGTGGTGATGATGGAGGTGGCGGTGCTAGTGGCCGTGCTAGTGGTAGGAATAAAAGCAGTAATAGAAATAATAGTAATAGTAATA